ATTGGCTTGAGCAACGCAACAGAGAGAGATGAGATGAGAGTTCGATTAAAATCGGTTTAACGGATCGAATTATGATCGAGTGTCACTTTGTAATAGCGTTAACGAAATCACAAACGTTCGTTAGGAAGCACGTTACGATGACGTCACTCTCCGAGATCGCTTCGACGCTTTCGCGAGAGCTTAACGAATAGAACTTAAAAGCCGGTCGTTCACCCTGCTCTTCTCGTATCAACGAACCAACGTCGGACGGACAAACGGAATACCGACTGCGACGGTCTGTGCCACGCTAGGCAGGCAGAATTAAATGCTCTTTATCGAAGCATCGTACTGTGCCATTAACGAACCAGAATCGATTATAAGCAATTAACGACGATCGCGATAGATAGGGAATCGAACTTTAAACGAGATATTATTTCCTTCTTTTTCTTTTTTCTCATTTTATATAACGATGATCCAACCAGCTCGATAACTTTATCGAAAAGTTTTATCTGATAATAGTCTGTTTGCAAACACGTCTCTCTGACATTCGGTCCGATAGATAGGATGAGTTTCGCGTTTTTTCTCGATTGAATTTTATTGGCATCACGTAGACAAAATACGTTTACGTGTTTGCCATTTGTTCTTGGCGCATTTAGCACATAGGTGTGCCAAGCGCGACTTCACCATACACGCCAAGAGATACAAATTCCATTTCCATCGGTTTAATTTCTAAATGCTCAGCAAGAATCCAAGAAGAGAGACATCTTGGAATCATCGTCCAAGCTCTCTCTCTCTCTCTCTCTCTCTCTCTCTCTCTCTCGAGTCGAACGTCTCCCTTTTACGATCTTCTTCAAGCGTAATAATCTCATTTTTATCGCTCTCTGCAACTCGATGATTTTTCAAAGCCATTTTAGAATCGTCCAGTCAAAATTCGTTTACTTCGTAAAAGCTTCTCGAATGTTAATTAAATTATGAATAAAAGTAAAAGAGAAGGAAAAAGAAAGAAATGCTCGACAGGTAAATTAATTTCAGAAAAGAGAGGGCAAATACCGAGCAAAATATCTCTACCCTTCGTACTTTTGAAGGAATGAGAAGAGGAGGAAAAAAAAAGAAAAGAAATAGTGAAAGGGCCTTGGTGTTCCGATGGAAGCCTCGGGGCCTATTCGCGGACGCCTTGAATATGGTTCTTTGTTTCGGCGTACAATGCAGGACACGAAGCAGAAATTATGCAGGAAGTCGTCGTCTCTGTATGTACTATGCACGTAATATCCACTTTTAGCTCTTCTATATACAAGGTGATCAAATAACTTTTGGCGCTTTAGTAATTGGATTTCCGAAAGAAGAAAGGAAAGAAAATCAATAAAAATTATAACAATAAGAAATTACAATGTAACGTTAGATATTTATATTTCATATTGCAAGGAAAAAGAAAAAAATAAAAAAGAATAGCAATAAAAAATGTGGAATTTTTATCCTCCAAATAATTATATCGAGGAAAAAAATTGTTACCAACATACAGGGTTGCGTCTCTCTCTTTTTGAATAATATACAACCTTAAAATAAAAATGAAATAGTCTCCTTATGTATGTATGTATATAAACGTAATTTCGGTGTCGTAGCCAACACGCGACTCCTACTGAAAGTTCCCCTTCTATCTTAACTTCCAAGGGAAGAAATAAATATTTTTTAATAACGGGTGGTCGTGCCACCCGACAAGAGATATGTTGAGCAGGACAGAAGTAGGTTAATGTTGTACTGTAACGAATTAAACTAGGTCACGCGTCTCTTTGCCCGCGCGTACGTTTCTATGCTCGTGTGTGCCTGTATGGACGAGAAAAAAAGAAATGAAAGATGAAACTTAACTATAACTCGATCGTTTGAAAGAGTAAAAGCGAAAGTAAGATCGAAGATGATATAATCGAAATCGATTTTTGTCTCTCTCTCTCTCTCTCTCTCTCTCGTTTAGATTTAGATTAAAACGTTCTTGTCTTAAAATAGATAAATCTTATCTCCATCTTTTTATCTCTTTAAGGTTACAAGAGTCATTTGTACGTCAGTATCTTGGCGAATGTGTTTTTTTCCGATAAAGAAAAAGAAGAAGAAACATCAGTTTTATTCATATCGCCAAAACGCTATTAAAAAGGGGGAATAAGTGGATATAACGTGTCTCTATAGATTACGATATCAGGCTCGACGTTGGTTGATGCGTCGGTTGCATGACGATCACGTGGCTACTACTTTGGCCCTGTACAACAACCGCGCATCTCTAGTCACGGCCAGAGAGAAATTTAATAATGCTCTGGGCTTGACCTTGAACTTGGTAAGAAAAACTCTCTCTCTCTCTCTCTCTCTCACTTTGTCATCGCTTAAACGAGAGCACAATGACGTGGACTGACGAATGAAAAAATGTAAAAGGATAAAGAAACAGAGTTTCTCGAGTATGCAAAGGATAAGATCCTTTTGTTTCTTATCTTCGATAAGTTTGTCCTTCGCGAATCAAAACGCGTACATTCGTTATCGTTTACACCGTTTTAACGTATCATAAATAAATACATAAGTTGGCACATACATATGCGTTTCTCTCTTTTTTTTTTTCTTTTTTTTTTACAACGATGACTCATCCCGGACAGCTGCCACTCGCACAGCTATATTTTTGTCCAACTCTTTTCGTCCACCAACACGAGTTAGGACGAGGTCAAATACGAATTCTTCTATCCGTCCTATCGATCGATCGATCGAATTATTTTTATAACATCTCGCAATTAGTAATACTTCAGTCGATCCCTGACAACCTGTTTTTCTATCGTAGAGAAAAAGTTGCATTCTCGTAAATAACTTTCAAAATCGTAATAAATGGACATAAATGTATTCGTAAAAATGTCTATAAACGTATTAATAAAAACACCTTGTTTTCGAGAAAGCTAATGAATAACTCGAAGAATTCCACCGTAGATTCATCGTTGGCATGGCCATCAAATTCGTATTGTTTCGTGTCGGCGAGCCAAGTTCTTTATCTTTAGCGCGAAAAGTCACTTATAAAATGGCTTTCGAAAGCGCAACGATTGAACTTCCTGTTGAACTAAGTCCTGCTCTTGTGTTTTCCGTTCGCTGCTCCAATTTCCTCGCTGACTATTTGCACGGACATTATATATTTTATACATACACGCGTGTGTATATAAAGCTAAGCGACGCTTCCTGTTCTTTATATAATATTTCTTTTTTGTTTTGTTTTGTCTCTTTTATTTTCTTTTATTCCAATCTACAAAATCTACTTCTCAATAGATAACAATTTACAGTTAGACAATGTATGTATATATATATATATATATATATATATATATATATAATTGTGTACGGATATTATGAGTAACTTCAACTCGAAATAGGCTAGAATTCAACTCTAGTTAGAATGTGCTAAACAACAGACCTCTGAGAAAAGAAACGTCGTCGATCTTTGCACGAGTAAATCTAGTTAGGAGGATTAATGGAAGGAATTTGTACGCGTGAGTACGTTCGCGGACGTTAATGGTTGTGCGTGAGTAGGTAGCACTTTTAGCAATTCACTTTGCGACCACGTGGTTCGTCTCGAACGGATGTATGTACGTAAGTATACATGTATGCATGTACGTATATGCATGCGCATATGTATGCTCTGTGTGCGAGGCATCAAAGAGTATTATCAGAGTCGTTTGTCACTTCGTTTTACCCACTCGATTTCGAATACTCCATGTAGTCCGATGTATTTGTTTCCTTCGACGAGAAATACGATCTTGTTTCGAGAGCTCGGTCAATTCGATATTTTATCAGCCTTGCCGATTAACTTAATTGATTACACGAAATGTTTTCTTCTTTCTACGATCCAAGTACACGTGCTCGATTTTTTTAAATACAGATAAGTGACAGAGAGTCGTATTTTCAACGTTCGTTTTACTGTTTTCGATCGTAGACAGAATGAAAAGATTACTACAATTAATTCCTCTCGAGAAAGATAATATCTTAGCACTATGTCCAATAAACGAGAATGATTCATTCGCTCGATCGGACGATAAAGTGAAAATAAAACCATATGATCGATAGCGTAACGAGCAATATTTTTCTCAACGAACGACCTTGAGAACTTTGATGGTAAACGAATTTTGGCTGTTACCAAAAGTCCGAGTAACCTTCGATAATTTGTAAAACGAAATAGTCTTTGAGAATCCGCAATCGGCTTGGAAAGTAAACTCGGTTATTGTTTCTTTTTTGTTTTGTTTTTTTTTTTTTTTTTCCTTACATCTCGGAGGTACGAAAGAATATTATTGATCGGTCGATAAGGATAACGATAGGGTGTAGATGCGATTGCAAGAACTCAATTTTTTACGAAAAAAATCCTGAAAGGATTAATAAGTGAACGAGTGGTATGTTAATAAAAAAAAAAAAAGAAAAAGAAACAAAAAGACCTCGAACGAGCGAAATACCGAACGAAGATCTTTTTAAGAAGAAAAGACGCTACAAGAAATACAGAGTTAAACGGTGATAGGATAACAAAGAAATGACCAGTCAAAGTAGCGCGATAATGATGTAAAAGCTTGGATAGGATTGGGGTAAATTTTCCAACACATTTGCAATTCTTACTTAATTAGCGTATATAAATAATTAAAAAAGCGGCATTATTCAGTCCGTCAATCTGTTCCTTTGTTTCGAACGATTCATCGAGGATCAATGATATCTCGAATAAGTTTTTAAAGTAGTAAAGAACAAACGAAAGGCATTTCGCGAGGAGGTGAATCAGAAAAAAAAAAAAGAAGAAAAGAAAAAGAAACACGGTACAAAAGTCCACGTTTATTAAAGACTTTGGACGATCAAAGCTACGAACGATTCACGATAATATCGATGGTCAAATGGGCTGTTTGTCGATGTTGACAAAATCGAGGTAGGTGGGAAGCGAGGTGACCGAAGGATGACGAGGATAGTATGGAAGGCGTTGGTGGTGGTGGTGGTGGTAGCGTTGCGCTGGAAGAACGCACATATTGATCACTGACCTTTCCTGCGGCCGAACGGTCCGAAGAAGGTGCCGTTCTTGCCGATGACGTTATCGTCGATATACTTGAGCAGCTTGCTCGTGTCTTCTCCTTTCTTCGTGGCGATCGACTTGACGGGGCGTGGCGTAGCGATCCTTTGACTGATGCCGCCTGCGGCGGTGCCACCGGCACCAAAAACACCAGCTACGTTAGCAGCCGCCGCAGCAGGACCGCCGATCGTCGTGGTCGTCGTCGTCGTTGACGCCGTTGTCGCCGCCGTTGTCGTTGTAGTTATCGTTTCCAAACCCGTACTCGATGTAGTCGTGTACGTGGTGGCGAGCGAGGACGCGACCAATACGTTATTGGTCGTTTGAATCGTCTGTAAGAGGGCGCAACTCGAAGCAGCGCCGTTAGGAGAAGGGCATGTATTCTCCTCCGCCAACGAGCTGATTCTCCTCTGCGATCCGCTCCAACTCTTCCCAGACGAGATCTTTACCGAGCAGCTCATTATCTCATAGTAATAAACGTGCTCTCAGGGCGCATAGTAAGCGCGTACGAGTCAAGATATAGATACGGAAAAGAGCGAGCGGAAAGCTGCGTGCGTACGTGTGTGCGCGCGCGAGCGCACGCAAGAGGGAGAGAGAGAGAGAGAGAGAGAGAGAGAGAGAGAGAGAGAGAGAGAGAGAGAACACAACACATATATTTGTACCTGTATATATATATATATGCGCAAGTATAGGAAAGGTGGATAGACCTTACGCGACACCACAGAGTTACATAAATCGATCTTTCGCGTCCAGAGATAAAAGTTAACACGCAGGACCCTTCTCCCCCTCTTCCTCCTCCACTTTGTCCTTCTCTTTCTTCACTTTTGGCTCCACAATGATTATCCTTTCAATCTTCGATCGGCCGCGCGACTATCTACTAAACTATCGTTGTCCCGAAATGACATCTAACACGTAGTATCACCTATTTCTTTATCCCTTTTTTCCCTCTCGTCAAACACTATATCGCCAAATATCGTCACTTTTCTACGATCGCGTACGTTGAAACGAAAGAAAACGTATAGAGTTATGGCTCACTCCGATTGGCTCTCACAATGGAATTGACTTTCGCAAAAGGCGTAGATACCACGAGCAGGTGCGATAGCCCGACTTAGGATAGAACGACGATAGATATGTTCTCGCGCTCGTTATACGTTATATATCGTGCGATTTCGGCGTAGAGGGAGCGACGCGCGACAAACTTGCGACCTCTTCGAGTGCTAAGACGAGACTGAATGTCTGGCGGGTGATGGGCTGCCCGGTTCGCCAATGACGTCACTCGACCACGCAGGCGCCCAAGAGTCTCGCTTCGCCACGGGCGTATCTTACGCGCTCTCTGGGCTCGGTTGTACGTGTTGCCGTGGAAACTTGAAGTGCAAATTAACGAGAACTCGCCGATTAAAGTTCGCCGATCGCGACCTCGTAATCCTCCTGCTTCTTCCCTTACTTCTCCGCAGTCGTCTTTCCCGATCAACGCGATTTTATCGCGCAATAACGATTGCCTGCCTATGCGAATTAGTTCTTTCTCGAGAAAGAGAGAGGAGACTCGAGCCGATCGAACGACGCCTATTTATTTATTGGACTCGCGCCAAAATCGTTCGTTCCTTCGAACGAAATTATCCGAACGAAACTAATGCGAATGCACGTAGGGTAACAACAATCGTCGAATCTTCATTTTATCGATTTATGCCTAATAAAAAAAAAAAAAAAAAAAAAAAAACTATGCCCGAAGATCTTGTTACCGTTTGGACGGACGATTTTATAATTCTTTTTTTTTTTTTCTTCTCAACACAACCTTATCCTTCGTATTCCCTCGTGTTATCGTTATATATTGTTGTCGTTATTATTATTATTATTATTCCGGTTTACTCATTACCATCCGACTCATTAATTTACGTTCCATCTGTCGAAGTTAGATATGCCTCGGGAGAGACATGCTATCTAGAATGATGTCAAAAGAGAGCGACCGGACATCGTCTGCACGAGCTCGCTTTATTTATTTATACGTATGACGATATAACGAGCATGCTAAAATACGAAAACAAATACATATACTTCTGTAATGAACATCGTACTCGCATTACGAAGAGATAGCGATTATCTTTGCGTGCCAATTTCTCGCGGATATTCGCGTGCGATCGAAGAGGTCCTCCTCTTCGTTCGTATCACTCCCGACTGCCACGACGGGAGCGATACGACGTTGTTTCGACTATAATCTCCCGTCCCTCTCCAATGACATAACGCGTACAGGTCATCGCTGTACGTGTCATTGATATTATCAGAAAGCTTCTCACAAATCGTATTTTCTATTTCGCCAATATGGAAAAGAAAATCGCAACGAGAAACGATAACGCGCATTGATCGCGTTGAAAATCAAAAAGTAGAGAAACACTTGATGAAACGTGACTTTTCATTTTTATACACCCAGTACATGTATATTATGATATTTTACTCGAATCGTACAACGACGAGCGAAAGCAAAACGAATTATTCTACGAAGAATAATGGATTATACATCGTCGCGATGGAAAGCCGTGGAGAAAGTGACATGTATTATGTCCAAGAATCGTAAGGATTCTCTTGCCGAATACGATCCCGAGTTGGAATAACGATACATATATACATATATATATATATATATATATATATAAAGCACGAATTCTTATTTATTCTTTACGTTCCGCTTCAGTCTCAAATAACCGTCATTTTCTCTTCTTCGAGAATTTCCAAATTTTTCACTTCACTTACATTTCTCTTTTTTTTTCTCCTACTTCTTTATAATTTCATAACGTCTCCGCGATCAAAGGGGCAATTAATGATAATGAGTAGTGGGAGAAAGGGAAGAGAAAGAGAGTTGATTGCGTTATCATCGGTGCAGACGTTAGATATGACTCTTGTTTATCCATACAATGTACAATTCGGTCGGCAAGCTTTTCTCGTTTGCGCGTATCCGGAAGAAGATTTATAAGGTTCTTACGTAAGAACCGCGAACGTGCGGCATTAAAATCAAAATAGATCTTGGAAGTTGTAAAATTTGATTTCTGTAAATATCAACTGTTAAGAACGTAGACGAGAAGTGGATGTGCCACGTAATAAAATATTGCTACTCTACGGAGAGTAGTTTTTTAGAAAATAAAAATTTCTGAATTGACTGAAAAGAATATTTAAGGATATCGTCTCTTTGGGTCTTATTACAAAACGCGAAGCACGGCGGAGACAGCGCGCGATCGTGCCTCGCATCCGTTACTTTGTCTCTCTTCTCGCGTTCGTTTATGCATCACACATCGCGAGTATTCGCGATCATTTACGATCTTCGCTTTACACTTTGATGCACCGACACGATAACGAAGCAAACGCACACGCGTCGAACGCGTGCGATGCTCGTGTACGGCCAAGCTCCATTCCCGTTGAGACGCGCTTTAAACTCGAAGTAACCCCCACATTAGCAAGATAATAAATGAAACACGTTCTGTTTTGAGAGAACCGATGAAAGAGCATCAAAGAAAAATGTCTAAATTTTCCTTCGACTTTCCCCTCTACGTAATGTATGCTCTTATTGAAATATTTATCGAAAATCCTCTCTTTATACGCATTTAACATGGGCCGCCTATCGAGATTACTCTTCGTATTAAACGCTAATAAATGTAATGAGATTTCAATTAATGGAAAATATTTCATTCGCTTCTGTCAAAAGGAAAAAAAAAAAAAAAAAAAAAGAGAAATAAAGAAGAAAAAAAAGGCGAACGACACGATTCAGAATCACGTTTCGTGATCAAACTCGCCATGGTAACCAAGTACGCCCTTTTATTCTCTCCCCTATTGCCCGTACGCTTTTTCGTAGGGTTTCTGTGAACATGCTCGCGCTCGACGATCGTTCGACGTTTTATTATAACCTGTACATACGCACAGCAAGAGACCGCTTGAATTGGCTCGTCGTCGAACTTGCATCGAGATGCTAAAATTTCCACGTACCACCGGGGAGGATCGAAGAATCGCGGCGAGTATCGAAAGGAGACGGCAAATAGAAGAAGAAAGAAAAAAACGTATCTTTAATCCTCGCTTCAGAAATATCGGAGTGAGTTAATCGTCGCGAGCTATCTTCTATCAATTTTCCTAATATTTCCTTTTTCCTGGAATATTTATAAGATCGACAAGGAATTCTTGGATCGACAAGTGGAAGAAAAGAGACAGCAACGCGAGGAAGAACGCGCTAAGGAATGCCAGCTAGACGAGAGTCTTGTACGCAGCAGCAAGATCGCTTTGCAATTGGAAAAGGAACAAGCTGAGGTAAGAGGTTGACCTCGTTCGATCTAACGTTCTCATGAAATTCTTACAAAGCTTTCCTCCTAAGAGAATCGCTTCGTTCCTTCTTTTACCTTTTACTTCGCGTCCGTTAGGAAAAACGACGGATAAACGAAGAGATCGAAGCGTTTCGTCGACTCCACCAGAGACGCGAGGACCGTCGGGATTACGATCTTTACGATCCGGATGCTCTGAGGACGTCGCTACCTTGTCGAGTCAGTGATGATGACCCACGTTTGGGACTGGCCTCGGCCCAAAAGTATCCTACAATTATTTTCTTCGTTATCCTGGTCATTAAAATAAAAATAGTTTAGCTGACCGATAGGCATATACGTACCTTATCTTTATATTCCTCTTTCCTATAATTTGGCATATCGGCTTCGGCTGTTTGTCAAAGAATTTTAAATGCTGAAATAAATAAGAAATTAAAAATTTACTCCAATACACTCTTTTACATAGACTTTCTAGACGTTGTTCTTCAACTCTATTGCAAGTAACACGCAACAAAAGGCAAAACAAACATATAAATATAACATATAGCTCAATGTATTCGCATTTGTTACAAGCAGAGGCGTGCGTACTTTTGTATAGATTCGAAGGCGAGGATTACAACTTTCGAGAACAAGATCGAATGAAGAAAGAGGAAATGCGTTGGTGGGTCGAGAAGCAAAGGAAGGAACGCGAGACGGCGGAAAAGGAACGAAAGGATGCAGAGAAAGCGTACCAGGAAGCCGTTGTCTCGAGGGACAAACGTGCCGTCGAGTTGGAAAAGTTGGAGCGAGAATGTCGTCGAAGGTTGAGCGAGGCCACCGCAAGTTTCAACAGGGCACTGGTGAGATCTCTTTAATCCTTTTAAAGAAAAACGAATAATTGTTCGTTCGAGAAAGAGAGAATCTTCTTTTTTTTTCTTTTTTTCCTTGGATAATAATTTCGTTCCTACAATTCGGTTTATAAATATCGTTGATATTCACGTTTCCCTTGATCCTCGAGTCCTTGATTTCACGCTCGCGAAGAAACTAGAATTTATAAAGCTTTCCATCGGTCGCAAGGCGGAGGAGCAAGAACACCGACGACTTTGCGAAGCCGCTCAAGACGAGGAGGACAAGAAGGCGGAAATCTACAATCACGTGACCGGAGATTTCCTGACGGAAGCCCCCGAGCAAGCGGAGAGCAACCGTGGACCGAAGAAACCGCTCGCATCGCGTTACAAGGGCATGACGGCCGATCAACTCAAGGTCTTCAGAGACGAGCAAGCACGACAAATGGAGGAAATCCAGGTAATAATACGAGCCACCCAATGATCTCTTTTCTCCTTCGAGTATATCCAGAAATAGACGTCTATAAATTTTCTCGGCCTTCTGGTGTCGAGGATCCTTGTCGAGGATCATAAAATCGTCTCCTTACTTTATCCTTCCCTTGTCGTTCCCTCGTTAACTCCTTATTTTCTTCTTAGAAAATGAAATTGGATGAGAAACGAATAAATGTGGAATGGGACCGACTGATGAACGCGCACGCTAAAACTGCCGAGGCTTATCAACGAGAGCTCGATCGAAAGAAGACGTAAGAGATGTTTTCCCTTTACCTTTATTGGACTTGCTTACTATCAACGAAATATCTTTTAGGGAACTCAATAAGAAGATCGCGGAGGAAAACTTGAGGCTCGCCGAGCAACAAAAGTCTTATCAGGAGTATTTGAATCGCGTCGTATATAAGAACAAAACATCCCTTGAATATTTCTTGCAGTTCAACAAGGGAACGCGTTAAATCAATTATTTCCCTCCTGGAAGATGAATGTGATTATTCTATGATTTTTATCATTATCCATTCCATTTTTAATCGACTAAATACATATCACGTATCACGTATTTCTCTCCATTCGAATGTATCTTATTAAATCCATAACTTTATGATAAAATAAATTCGAAGAAGGAGCAAACCCGTTATTTTGCGGAATTCTTTCGAGGCGCCTTCTTAAAAAAAAAGGAATTCGCATTTCATCTCTTTCGTTATCTATGTTTGTTTTCTATCTGTTTGAAGAAATTTGCGTCACATATATGATTACCACGAGATTCTATTAACTCATGCATACGCTTTGTTACGCCGTCAGTTTCAGGTTAACGAACAACCAAGTACGCATACACTTAGAGGGAAATTAACGATAATGAGGTTTGGAAAAAAAGTCAAGTTATTCGCAAATATGCTTGGTAAAGCACTTGATAGATTTTTCGCTTAAACAGATGCATGTACCACCGGGACGGGTTTTGTTATGGCAAATTGTTATGTGAGAGTATTGTGACATAATCCGGCGGCATATATATATATATATATATAAGATATTCACGTTATGCTGCACGCGGTTATAAATGCGTTACGTAGCGCAGCGGATACGCGCGCGCGCGCGCATATGCCTGCCTACATGCCTATAAGGTACATACAATATACAACCGGTGTCTGTTCGCGCGAAATGCAGTACGAACTAAAATGGTTGTGAGTAAACTCGAGCGATATAATTGATGGCAATTGAACAATTCGAAGAGAAACGCTATCCTTATCTACTTCCTATATTATCGCCGCTTATTAGCGACGCATAAGCGTTATCTCTTTCAACGAGTCGTATTCAACAAATTGTTTGTCCGGCTCGTGTCATTTGCATTCGTGAGATATTAAATCAAAAGGAAAAGATAGGACAAATTTCGATGATGAAGAAGAAAGACACGTATCATATAGATGTGCACAAACTCGTCATAGAGCGATCGTTTTATATACCTATATATCTTGATAGGTCGATTTCTTCCATTTGATAGAGGTTAATATTAAGGTTTTAAGACACGTTACTTAATTTACTCGTACCTTCCTTACTCTCTCTAACCATTCAAATCGTCCATTGTTTTTCTATTTTCTATCTTGTATTCTAAAGAAATGAAGCGTTTCCCAATCGATTTCGGAATTACTTTTTGTGCTCTGGCTTTGAGTGCGTCCGTCGTCTACTAGGTCTCGGTGATGCAGACGCACACACACGATGGGTAAAAAAGATGTGGCCGGTACGGTCGGTAAAGAAGTTCCGTTGTGTTTACAAAACCAGACGTTTGCGTTTTCGGATAGACTTTTCGTTCCGATTGTTTGGCGAATTATAGAGGCGAACGGGATATAAAATAATGCCTTTTTCCTATTAAACAACGTTCGCAAACGTCGTTCGTTTTTAAGTCATCGCACGAGTTAATATGATCGATTCGGAACTGGAAAATATATCGAAAGACGGGTAAGTTTTGAGGTTATACGACGTATGAGATGATATATGTATATACCGATGTATTTGTGTGCTTGTTATATCTAAATTTGTCATTCTTTATGATTTTATTTACATAAAAACAGTAACCACGACAAAAATATACTTTTACAAGAGTATGACGAAGTAGTGGAAACTCTTAAAAAAGACTTAACTATGTGCAAGGTAAAAGTTTTGCTAAAATGTCTTTTTGGTTAGAATTAATATTCTATGACTTTTGAAAGAAAACTTTTTCGTAGACGGAACAAAACAAGATCAGATCTTTGCTGGAAGCTCTACAAAATGATAGCAGAGATACTGGTGATCTAATTAAGGATCATTTCTCTCGCATTCATATAGAAACTTGTAGCAGCGAGAGCATACATAATAAGGAGCTTATAATGAATCTACAAGAACGCCTTGCTGTTTTACAAATGGAAAAAGATTCTGTCTTTCAATTATGGCAAATAGCATTGAAAACTGTGACTGCTCTGGAGGATGAATTAAGGTGTCTTAGAACCGATGGTAAAAGTACCAAATTATACGAGGAGCATATCGATAATGTCAAAGAGACTTATTCCGAGGCTATCAAAGCATTGGAGGGCAAGTTATTACAAGCGAGGGAAAATTTTTTGAAACAGCAAGCATTGTGGGAAACTAGCAAGGATAAAATTGAGGACTTGCTTAAAGAAAAAGCTGATATTACAAGGAAACATGAAATTTATCAAAAGGACACTCTGGAAAAAGGTATGTCGAGGAATATAATAATATTTTTTATTTATTACCATAGTAATACATTATGTGCGTTTTTTTTTTTTTTCATTTTTAAGATAGGAACAATATGCGGATAGTTGAAACGTTGAAAACCGAATTAGCTGCTGCAAAAGCTGATACCCAAAGGGCAATGGATTTAAAAGGAGAGTTGGAGAGTAAATTGAACGAAGCTATGAAATTTACGGCATCTTTGATAGCCAGAAATGAAGAAACAAAAAATAAAATGTCCGAGGCTTTGGAGTTGGTAGAAATTGCGGTAAGAGAAAAGGATCTTGTATTACAAAGGGAAGCACATGTATTAGAGGAAAAAGGTAGGCTCGAGGTACGATTGTCTAAAATAACTGAAGAACATACCGTCATGTTACAAGATGAGATAACGAAAATGAAAGATGGTTATGAAAGAAGCGGGAAAAAATATATATCCGAAATCAAAGAGCTTAAAGCAGAATTAAAACAGAGAACGATGCTATTGGATAATGCACAAAAAGATTATAGAGTTTCTCAGGAAGAACTTGAAAAGGTACGTCAGAATTCTGAGGATGTATTACAAAAGTCGAGAACGAAAATATTGGATTTTGAACAAAAATTACACTGTGTGGAACGTCAACTTCGTGACAATGACGATACGCAAAGGAAGAGGTATGACGCGGAGATCAGGCATTTAGAATCTAAAGTAATTGAATTAGAAGAAAAGTTGAGCGCCGCTAATGATGAATTAAGAAAAATGCAACAAGAGAATCGCGATAGTATGGAGCATCAGGTAAAACAAGCTAATGAAAAAACAAAAAACCTAATAGAGCAGTGCAATGATTTAGAGAAACGTTTGGCTAGATCTTTGGAAGATAGAGACAATTTTCAGACAGAAATCAAACGCCTACAAATGACTTGTGATCGTGAAATGCAAAAGCGAGAGTACGAGAGACATAGTCTTGAAAATAAAATTCACGATTTAGAGATCAATTTTCAAAAAGCAACTTATTTGGCACAGGACGGTCCATATGCGAATGTACTTGCGACTCAAGTATATACCATGGAGAGGGAAACGAAGAAGCCCAGTTCACCCGTAACGTAATTATCGATCAATAAATCCCTTTAGTTTCATTTACATTGATTGTTTCACAAATACTATACTGTATATTTCTTTCAGGATAGAAACCAAGGAACATTGTTGTCGACCGGTCCTGTTGGAGCAGATGAATAAAGCGCAGGAACGATACGATAGGAAGATGAAGGAATTATCGCATCATGTGGAAGTTCATCGGAAACTTAGTAGAAAGTAATTGAAGTGTATTTTTTTCTTTTCTTTTTTTTTTCTTTTTATTTCTTCTTTCTTTCCCGTTTCTTTTTCCACGTTTTTTTACTCTTTTTTTTTTTTTTTTTTTTTTGTTTTTCTTCTGGTTGTTCAAGGTGGAAGGAAGAAGCCAAGTCAATGACAACGAAGTTTCAAGAAAAGTCTAAGGAACACAGAGCTAAAATAAATGCCCTAAGAAAGGAGAACGAGGAATTGAATAAACGATTATTTTCGTGTCAGCAAGAACTTACTAAACATAAAGTACAAAGTGTTCCGAGGTATGTTAAAATATTTATTTTATTGTGTATGGTGGATGTAGAATTTCTTTGTGTATTTAAGTATCTTTGTATATTTTAGATGCAGCGAAGAAAATAAAGTCAGGTGACATTATAATGTCATACTCGTCGGATTAATATCACGTCATCTTGGCTTCTGTAAATATCGCAAAATACGGTGGATTTGTCTATTTTGGAAATACATGTTCATACAGGAAATATAAACTATATCTTAAATGTGATTCCTACCTGAGATAAAATCTTGAAAAAATATTATTCTTTGGACGCGATACAGCCCGTAAACAAACTAGGAAACCAATACAAGGCTTCATGTTCTCCTTGTTCGTCCAACCAAGCCAATCCTTCCTTCACCATGTGATCCAATGCTTTCTGAGCTCTCTCTCTTTCCCATCTTAATTCATTTCCTAGCATAGACCTTGATACGTGCGCATTTCCAGACAAGCTAGCTTGCTGCAGCACAGCGGTATGATCCATACTTAATTCACCTGGAACAGACTGGACTAGATGTTTTCCTCTACCTATTGGAACTATCGCGAATCCATTTCCAAAAATTTTCAATTTTTTAGATGCTGCCAGGAGATCTTCATTCGTTATCTCTTGATGTTCTTTACGACGACCTCTTGCCTGTATCAAACGTGTCCTTAATTCGTCCAAAGATATGAGGCCACCATTTTTGTAATTTGTAGCCATACATACTTCCACAATCTGTACCGCTAGTTCGTAATAAAAGTCACCAATTCCTAACACCGACCAAAAACCTTTACCAGAGGCTAATGGATCTACACCTATGGAGGCACACATCTCGGTGAATTGACGCCGAAATTGAGCATTCTTTTTAATCTCGCTTTTGTGCTTCGTTGCAAATTCCTCCAAGTTAACACGAAACGTTTCCATTTGTTTGGTCATCTGCTCAAATTGATTTTCTTGTATCTCTGTACCCTTATCCTTGTATTTTTCTTGTTCAAGTTTCTGTTTGTGAATTGCGCCAATGCCTGCCTTTCTCCTCATATTTCAATCTTACGAAGGTACAAATATTAAATTAAATTCGTAACAGGTGTATAGAATGATCGAGTACGTGCTTACGCTACGATAACTGTTGAATTAGTTCCAAAGAGTAATTTAAAATTCAAACTACTTGTTCGACAAAAATAACCTATCAATCGTACACGATCGTTTTATAATCGATGATGATAGGTGCGTGCGAGCGCGCAGGAAAATTGTTTATTCGGTACGATACTATTAAGACGATACTGTATACCGTAACATGTTTTTCTTTTTTTTAACATCCAAAAGAATTCAATATTATTTACGCATTTCCAAATTTTCAGTCACTCTTATCAAGCATGTCGCTTTAAATACGGTCCAAGTACAACGCTAGATGTCATTCGGCTAAACATATCAAAATTTAAACATGGCGTCCGCAATGGAAATCGACGACGAAGAAAGTGATTTGCCTACTTCGAGTAGCGGTAAAGGAGAAAAAAAGCGTTTCGAAGTGAAGAAGGTTCGTAACGTAGTGAAGAAAGAAAATATAAGTTTTATATTTATCTATTTTTATTCATCACGAATATACGATGCCAAATTTATAACCTCATTTTTGCCGTCTCATTCTAACGCACGTTTGTTTGTTTCAGTGGAATGCCGTGGCACTTTGGGCTTGGGGTATGTATTCTGTCTGGTAATATTGCTAAGTGCCAAAAAAAAAAAACAAATGTAAACGATCAAGTATGTCCCGAAAGATGTCTTATTTAATAACATTCGTATAATTGTAATATTATTATTCTATTTCAGACATCGTCGTGGACAATTGTGCCATTTGCCGGAATCATATAATGGATTTATGTATAGAATGTCAGGCTAATCAAGCCTCTGCTACCAGCGACGAATGTACCGTAGCCTGGGGTGTATGCAATGTAAGCTTTAAATTCCTCCGTATAGATTTTATCTGGACAAATTTCTCTTATATATTTTCCATTCAAATATACGATAGAACGATACATCTATATTTATGTTTTTACAACGACATTATGTTTTTTCTCCTTAATAATATATCTTTGTATTTTGTTGCACAGCATGCGTTCCATTTCCATTGCATCTCTCGGTGGTTGAAGACCCGACAGGTTTGCCCTCTTGATAATCGCGAATGGGAATTTCAAAAGTAAGTATTATATTGTGAAATACAAAGCTTCTTATTGCTTTGAAAGTGCACATTGAATGTCTCTTGCTGAAGCGATGCTACTGTTCTTAATATATTTGGGAATTGTTTGTCAAATTTTCTTCTTTTTTTTCTTTTTTTATTCTCAACAGATACGGTCATTAACCAGGTGTGTTCCACAGCGACTAATATCATAACTTATGGGAATTCGAAAAGCGACACAAGTGTAAGATATCATATAAGACGCGTGGATATGAAAAACAACTCTCGTAATAAGATAATAAAGGTAATATCAATGGAAAGAGAAAAAGTAATGATGATTAAATTTGATGATAACGCATAAGAGGATACGAATAGGAACTTTAATTTGATATTTTATGTTATATGATATAAAGTATAATTGTAAGCTTTGGAATAAATAAGAATCTATGAAATAGAATTTACATTATACCTTGATGTAAAAAGTTCGTTATATCTCTTGTTTAAGTCACGTATTTCATCGAAAGAAAATTTAATAATAACTTCATCATTAAATATACACGATATATATGTATATATATATATATATATATATATATATATATATATATATAATTTATTACTATATATATTAGCCAATTCAGTTATATCATTTGCAAAATGAAAGCGACTCCTTTGCAGTGGCTGCGAATACCCGCAACCTTTTTATTCGTGAGTCTTTTTACCGAAGCTACCGGATGATCCGATTATCCGCAAGATTCTCCCGAGCAAAAGTTTCGTCCTGTCGTCTCGAATCCCAATCTGTCTTATTCGAAAAGCGAAATAGAACGACGCAATGTGAGACGTTTCTTTCGACTTCCGACGTTTTTAAATGTTAGTTTGAAAGAAAAAAGTTTTGTCGTTGATCTATTATGACATTGATAAATGTTCATAAATGATAGATAATTCAAAGTACGTTCGCTTGAATAAAATTTCTATCTAATAGTAATAAATGAAATTAATTTGTCGATCGTCCAATTGTCCAAATTCGCCATTTATCCTCGTCAGCGAGTAGAACTCTTCTTGTAGAGGAAAAATACGATTGTTCAATAAAGCTTATCTAACATTATCACAGGTTTAACGTTTTTAATGTCGGCAATGACGATATATTTCCAATCACGGATATTCTTCCTATATCCCAAAGAGACGTCTTCGTTGAATGAGGTTCGAGCATGTACGAGGCAACGTCTCTTCTTGATAACGAATAGCCGGCCTTTGTATGAGCGGCGCGGTTCCTGACGTCATGTGGAGGCCGATCGATCGCTTCAAGATCATCTCGAATACCTTTTCCAGTCGCGACGCATTGAAGAAGAAGCATCGGGCAATACTTATCAGGCCGCAAAACGAGAACTCGACGAGCTGGCTTCTAATCCGGGCATACATAGCGAAAATTACATTCGCGAACGTCGACCGACTTTTACGATGGCCCTGAGAAAGAGTATCGACGAATGCGCGACGCACACGGAGAATTCTTCTCTTTCCTTTCCTTTCCTTTCCTTTCCTTTCCTTTTCTTTTTACGTTTAATCGCAGAACCTATATACTTTTCTCATTAAAAAGGCGATAACTACCTTTCGCGGTATATTAAGTAATATAAAAATTCTTTTTCCTTTCCTCTTTTCTTTTTTGCGTCCAAATACGTTAGAACGTAAAATAATTGGAGAAAATTTGCAAGCTCGTAAGCCGTACTAGGCGGAAAATAGGACGCCCGTGGGGATAAAAAAGAAAGAAAAAAAAGAAAAAGATTTTTGGATAAATTCGTAAGACGCTCGGTAGCCCGTGGAACGACGTTGATTTTTAGGGTAGCTTCCCCCTTCTTGGAGAATTTCGTTTCGCGACACTCTCAGGTGCGTACCCACTGGAAATATTTACCTGAGCTCGAGAGATGGAATATAAATACGATTTTCGTCGTCCTTGTCGAACGCGAAAGGATGCTGCTCGGTTATTGGGCAAAGAGGAGAACGGGGAGGCGAGATAGGGGAGAGAGGAAAAGCGAAGCCCTCATTTCCTCCGGAAACAGAGGTTCTCTCAACCCCCACAATGGTCTGGCATCCCGCCTCGTCCTCTTGCCACCCTTCTCGTCTGCTTGCCCGATGGCGGCAAAGGCCAATCGAATTAAATACATTCTCAAGAATCGACCGATCGACCATCTCCCTTCTTTCCATTTCGATGTTATTCACTAGACGAGCATCCTCCGCGAGTCCCTGTGGCTTCTCTTTAACGTTCGCTCGAAGCACTTGAAACTTTGCCGTTCCGTCAAGAATGCGCTTAATAATCGGCATTAACTGAAAAAGGTCGGAGCTCCTCCGGGCTATTAGCTATATTTCCTTACGAATCTTATTTTCCATCCTGTCTACGTTTAAATTTTAAAAAGAAACTAAGGCGATATCGACGACATTTACGTTTTAATGCGGAAATGTGTTGAGATTTTCGGACCCGTTGATCGTCTATGGTTGAGTACTTAACGTATTATTTAAAAAAGTGTTCTCGTCTAGACCATCCATTATCCGTAGTACCGATAAATCCGATGGGCGTTCGAGATCCCGCTGTTTGGCGGATATATCAGGGTTTCCTCGGTTCCTCGTCGTTGTTCTTTTTATCCATCGTTCTCTTTTCCATACACCTGGAATCAGCGTAGGTTGTTGGCAGGGAGGGTGTCTCGGTACACCGATAAATCGTGAGATTTCTCGGTGTGAACGGCCGAACGGGCGGTTTGTCGACCCGCTTTCGCCAACGTCAAACATATAAAACGTCCGGGAAATCAAGGAAATCCTTCTCGAAGGAGCTTTGCATCGGAGAAAAAGAAAATAATTTTTACGACGTACGAACTACGAATGCTTTCTCCACGAAGACTTTATTCCAGACTACGGTGCATTGCATTTGAGGTTTGAGGGAGAATTTCTCGAAGATCAAAATGAGAAAACATTATGAAAAGTTTTGAAAGAAGCACGAAGAAGAGAAATCACGCGCGAGAATGGCGATAAAACAATCGTGGCGATGGCGGTAATGGCGATAGTTCGCGGAGTTTAGCGCTAGTTGAGCTACGATAAATTCTCGTTAGATGCTAGTGGAAAAGAGAAAGAAAGAAAAAAATATAGAGGAAGGACACTCGAACGACCCTTCTACTACGTCGCTTTTCGAGTTCTTTACCGGACCACTAACGAATTCGAACGATTTCCGACTTTTCTCGGACAGCTACTTTTCGTTTTCTTCAAACGAACCCTTGACCAGGACTCGACCGAAATCCGAATCAACCGTGCTCGAAAGAGCAACGTTAGATATAGATCGAGCCGAATAAAATCTTGGCACGAAGGGCCAAGAGGGAGAAGGAAATCTCTAATGGGAGGTACTAATGGAGATCCTACCTGAATATATACTCGGTGCAACGAAGAGAGAGAGAGAGAGAGAGAGAGAGAGAGAGAAAGAGAGAGAGAGAGAAATAGTTAATTTATGTAGGTTAATTTATAAGGTAGCCGAGAAGACGTAGTCGTACAAGGTCGAAATTCGTCGAAAGCGGTACCACGGTAGAACGACGGCACGGAGAAGCGTAGTTTGTAGTAGAAGCGCATATACAGTATTCTTGGGCGGACGAGTCCGAGAGCACTCGATGGGCTAAGTAAATCAGAGGGCTTTGGCCGAGAGAAGCCGGGTCGCCCTCTTCAGGGCCAGAGAGGCAGAGGTGCTAGGAGCAACACAAAGGGTTGGCTAAGAGCTCTTCACCGGGCACACTCGCTCTCTCCTCGTCTCTCTCCGAGTTAGCGAGCATCGGCTACTTCTCTTGCTCTCGGACCGACTTGCTCCCTTCGTGACGTGATTGCTACCGAAATGTGTTTACGGCGTAAACCGTATCAAAATGTCGACGTTCGCCATCGTTCGCAACCTCCTACGACGCTATCGTCCTTCGTCCCTTTTTTCTCGAGCACATCGATAAAACCTACTAAGGTCGGCCTTCCGTCAATTTCGAACCATTGCTATCCTTCTCTTTTTATCTCATTCTCATCGAGCCTTTCCACTCTCTTACTTTTCTTCGTCGTCTCGACTTTTTCAAAAGAGGGCCAAACTCCTTCCCTTCTCTCTTCTTCTATTTCAGTGGACGCGATCTTCGAAATTGCGGCTCGCCCCGTTCCTTTCATCCATGGCTGACTTTTCACGGGAAGGAACGAGAAGTTGTTCTGCGAGGGGGAGAGAAACCACAATGGAAATGCGTTTGCTCGAACTCGCGCAATAATATTTTTACATTTTACATTAAAAGCTTCGAACTCTGCTACGGTTTAAGATCGCGAATGATCGACGAACCTGTTTTTATTTTATTCGGAAAGGTTAGAAAGAAAGTAGAGGTTTCTTACTGTTAAAAGAAAATACTTTCTTTTTACACCGAAGATATTTTCAATTTAATACGTAATAGAAAATATTTGCTAGCGACTACGTTATAGATAGAAAATCGACAGCTTTTCAACAGAGTGTACGAGCGTTTTCGTTGTACGGTCTGTACTTATAGCAACTCTTCCACACCTCGAAGAGACAAATAGCGGAATGGAATCGATAAAAGATAGCGAGCGGCATGGAGACATGGGTAATAATGGTCCAAGCCCAGACACCAAACAAACGAAGATGATCCGGTCGTACACCTGCACGAGACTTCTCCAAGGTATTTACCGTCCATAGAGCTATATTCACGACGATGAGGAACGTGATCAGTTCCTTGCCCGGTTTCTCCTTTCCAGTGGTACAACGCCGTCTCCATGCGATCTAAACACGATACCATTCGTGGAATCAGAGAGAGAGAGAAAGCGTCAAAAGAAAATTTTCCGGATAAAATCGATGAAATCGACGACAGCCTTTGAGCACTTTGAAAAGAGACTTACTTTAACGAGTAAAGTTTGACAGGTGCTCTGCAACAAAGCTAAGAAATCCGTAATTAACGACAGCACCCACATCGGACCCATGGTTAAGAGGCTACCGACTATTCCAAAAAGACAGTGCAGATAAATTCCAGCCTGAGCTGCCGTCAAAAGGGTCGAATCTAGTCGTGGCGCTTTCGACGATACTTTTTCCTCTAAATTTTGAATCTTCCAAGCACCAGATATCGAAGCGGCTACACCTGTTGTACGTAATATCGAATCATCGAGATATCAAAGTTCGATTAGATTAACGCCATGAGAGATTCAAATTTGTTACATCGGTTAAAGTCGATTACCTAAGGATAAGATCGCGGCTTCTAGGGCAGTAACTTGTTGTATCGCCATCTTGTGCTTTGCTTCTTTCAGAACGAAAAACATGATCAAACTTAAAATCGTAGCAGCTACTAAAAGTATTCCACCAAAGAGGCCTCTGAAGAAAAAGGAAATGTTACGTCGTTTACGGATTAAAGTTTCATTTTTCTCTTAAATTCCTAATAAATAATACCTATGAGCACTGGTGCAATCGATACTAAGTCTATGCATCGATCTTGCCGAATTTTCACTCTTCGTTTCGGTTCTTTCGTCCGTTCTCTTCCACATTTCGAAAAGTATCACCGAGCATATCAAACTGAACTCGATCGTGCAAGGGAAGAGAAAAGGACTTGCGTCGCTTAAAAGCGATTTCAGAATCCCTTCGTCGCCCTCGTATGCGTGGCCCAATTGATCGATCTCGTTGTGTGTTTCCTCGATGAGAGCCTGAAACCAAAGGTGTCATACAAGAAGCGTATACAGAAAATCGTACAAAATCTGGACGCTCTTTATTAATCGCTTTTATATCAATCAATTAGGAATTAATTTTGATCGCGAGAATCGCCCTTCTTTCTTTCTCGTTTTTGCGACATACGTGTGTATATATTTTGTCGACACACACATATATACACGCACACGTATGCATCAATTGCTATGCATGTGACTCGTGGTCGACACGAATGCCGAAAGTTCATCTCGCTTTATCGCGAAATTATTATTTTCAATATCGATAAGCACCGACTTCGATTTCGACAAACATCGGGGTTGCGGGCTTTGCTTTATAAACGCATGAGACTTGTTTCCGATATTCATATCGAATTGAATACCGATAAATATTACGTTCGATTTCGATAAATACTAAATTCGTTTAATCGATTCACATAGGTATTAAAAGCTTATCGATCATGGGAAGGTAATTTGAGTTTTGCATTTATTGGTCGAACCTTTGCCTCGTATTTTTATCTTTTCTCGAACGAAGTGTTCTTACACATTCTTTCTCACAATTTCGAATTTTTCCGATCGAGGGCGGAATAAAACAATAATCTTCTTAAAATATTTCTAAACGTAACATTTTTAAAACATAGCATTGGTAAAGCCATCGGAAGGATTTTACCTAATGTTTTTCGAATTAGTTTGAATTACTGTGCTCGAATTACGTCATATTGATTTGGACTGAGAGGAGGCGTACGAAGTACTTCATTATTCGCTGTGGAAGTAATGATATGTTGATAATATGCGCATCTATGTTGTACACTTAACGGATAACGTATATCGAAATTATCGTTTATGCGTGTAGGCATATAGCTATATATATAGGTATACGAAAGGTGTACCACGTTCCCTAATGATTATTAACAGAAATTCAAAGTAGAGATAGTGAATTGTAAATAATTACGATGTAAATCACCTGAAATCGGGATTTTTGAAAAGAAGATAACATCGAGCTACTCGTCGATAGAAAAATATAGGGGGGAAAAAAAGAAAAGAAAAAAAAAAAGGAAAGAAATAGTAGATAGGTGTTTTTCACTTACCTGAAGCCACTCGCAAAGATTCGTCGCGATCATATGCATCAGACCTAATTTTGCGAGTGCTCCGAGTCTCACAAATTCAAGATTTTTACTGTTAAGGAATATAAAGTGCATTTGAGCTGTGATCAGGAGTAATCTAGCGGCTGGTGTAATCGCCCTGAATGGCCCGGAAGCTATTTCCGCCCCAATTTGCAATCCGGTAAATACCAATGAACCGGCACCAAATCCTACAGCGCCGAATCTCAAACAAAAGCTTCCATATTGTTGTGCCTGAGAAAAGGAAAAAGAAGAAACCCCTACTTTGCTCTCTTTCGTTACTACAAATCTATATGTCCGAGCTAACGATGAGCAAATGAGTGGTAGTACGTTAATAAAGAATGACAAAAAATAATAGAGGGAATTGTACCTGGCTAGTGTGAACACGTGCACCCTTTTCATCAAAGGTAAAGGTCTCTTCCTGTCTTTTGCCTTGCAGTATCAGCTTTTTTACAGCTTTGTCTTTCAGCATGCTGGCGTACATGGTGATCACGAAAGTAACGCTTCCAAGGTAGAGGTATAAATAAAACCCCTGAAAAGTCGAGTTCCGTCGTATCCTTTGATGTATGGCATTTAAAAAAAGTACAACGGAGAAAGAGAGGGAGAGAGAGAGAGAGAGAGAGAGAGAGAAAGAGAGAGAGAGAGAGAGAGAGAGAGAGAGAAAAGAAGGAATATTTAACTTTTAGCCTCAACGTCGCAAATTATCCAATTTTTTTTCTCTTTTCCTTTTTCTTCTTCATTCGACCATTATCAAATAATTTCCACTGCCATTCGATTCGTGAAAAGGAATAGAAAAGAAATGTATAAGCTTGCTTCGACGTACCTGATTCAAAGCAATCGGTACTTTATGACTGATGCTGGCTGTAACTGGCAATGCGAATCCTATCACTATCAACAATTTGGCGTAAAGCATGCTTACGGTAGATACCAGTTCTCTCGGATGTTTATGTTTTGATTCGTGCGTCGTGGATTGCGTGACTTTCAAGATCGGTGCTTTTGCTAATGTAATCGAGAACGTTTACATATCTTCTCCTCGAAAAAAATGGAAAGAATATTCTGGCCAAAGTGAAAAAAGATATTTACCTTTATCGACGTCGAGAGCGTTCAAAGACGCGCAAGCCGTATTGACTGGCGTTAATTGTAAATAATTTGTTCGCAACTTTCGTCGATCATCGTCGGACTGATACTGATCTACGTGTTTTGGATTCGTACGGAGGGATATCGGTAGTCCTACGCTCGGGGCGTGTCCTTGCACGAAATCCTGATCGTGCGGCATACAAGAAGGCAACGACATATTACTGCCTATTCCAGAAATAAGCGCTCTGCCGATAGATAAATGGAAAATCTTATATTTTCGTTTGCACGTTTCACGTTTGCATGTCTTACGATTTATGCACTTTCTTTTCCTTTTTGTCGAAACGTACGATAACGTAAATCTTGCTTTGGTTTATGCACGTTCTACGTATGTATGTTCAAAGGTATAATCTTTTTCGATATTCGCGCGGTGTTTCGAAGAGACAATTTGAAACGAATCGAAGAAGGATCGATTCTCTTTGCGAGATATGTATACGTACGTATTCGAATAAGATCATTTGATAACGTTACCCTAGGAGGCCTCGTTTGTGATGGATGACGGCGTTAAATCCGTTGCTTTCTCTTCTTGGACCGTTGTTTCTTCCATGAGAGGAAGGCAAATACTTGTTGTTCTCTATTTCCGTGGTGATCGTCATCGGGTTAGACACAACTCCCGTTGATTCCTTAAATTCAGAACTTTACGAGTACCAAAGGTATTAGTAATAAGGTATGACCTGTAACGAATAATCAATGAAAATTTGCGACTTACTTTGCAACGTTAGCCATTTGCTTAGATAAAATGAGTTACGGATTAATATTTACGCACGGATGCGAGAAGGAAAGAAACGCGTTTAAAATTCTCCCCTTTTCACGCTCTCTCTCTCACCTTCCCCGCCCTCTCTTTTCTTTATTCGAAGGTGGCGCGACAATCGCTTCCGATTATTCACCGACAATGCGTCAAACTTTTCAGGTTGGCCGTGCTTGGATGAGGCCAGAGAGGATTCGTCTTCTGACTGAAACTTGGAAATTTATTCTCTAGTAAATTCGCGAGTTTGAATTTTTAGCAGGGAGGCCAACTACTTTCTCTTCTTCTTCTCCTTCTCTTTTTTCCTCTTATTCGTCCTTTTTGTCCTCTATTTCGAAGTCACGCTCTTAATCGTTTCTCTCGAAATATAAATCGAGTATGCGCGAACGTAAAACGTTATTTTCTTTTTTTTTTTCTTTTTTTTTTTTCAAGTATATCTCTTCTTTACGTTAACGAAATACAAGACAAGGTTGGTTTATCGATGATAATTTGCACGGTGTGTAAAACTAGTCGATTGTGTCGGCGTTAAACTGACAAACTTTTGTTTAAATCGGTCTGAAAGGATCCTGGAAACTGTGACGTTATCATCAGAAACGCGTCACGGAGCGAAATGAAACGCGCATTATAGACGCGTAGCCTAGTTTGTTTCTGCTATGGAAAGCGGGAAAGGACGATCGCGCACAATTCTCTTTGCGAAAATTAAGGAAACCGTTTCTATTCCGACGTTATAACTTTGCTTACTCGTTATCTTTGGAAAAAATCGAAGGATCTTATTCGGAAGGAGTAATGAAAGAAATACGAATGAAATAATAAAAGCCAAAGGACGAGTCTTACTTCTTCTTTGACCGTTTCGATCGTACTCGCACCGATGATTCTTTCGACCGGCGAATGGAGTTTCGTTTTACTTGCACGTTTTATTAGCACTTTGTAAAACGAAGAATGAAGCGATATACATATATTTTAAACGCATTCGTTTTACCGGAATATTTAGCAGAAGCAGAGATAATCGATAACTCTCGATTGGACAAACGCGTGTAACGTTTCGGTCGTTTCTCGAAATTATACATTTCATTCGGTCGAGCGAGTATCGTCCTAATGAATTATCGATAATGGCGGCATCCTTTTAATTTGTGCGCCGAACGAAACGTGAAAATCGTTGCTCTTAAGCTAAATAGTACGAGTTATTTTTGCTGTTACGATAGACATAAATACGATCGACTTTTTCCCATAAAGAGGTAGATTACGAAATCGAATATAATTTGTCTTTCTCAAGTCGAGAGTTACGGAAGAATAAAAAGTATCGTTCCTTACAAAATTCATGAGATTTCGTCGATTTTCGATAAAATCGAGTGACAATCGGCAAGAGGAACGTTGAATTTTCAATGATATTGCATAGATTTTTATAAGATCGTACTTTATAATTTCGCATAATTATATCAGACTTTATAGGGCGATCTCTTAAAGGGTAACGAGTAACGAGAAGGGGCGAGTGTTGGATGTGGACCGTAAACCGATAATGACGTCTGCATCATGCTTTGCTCGCGAAACTGCCCGGAATATACATATTTGCCGAAACGATTCGAAAATTTAGATTGTTCCCGCTAAACGATACTAATTGTAAGCATTGCCGATACTTGTTAGCGAGCCAAGGCTCGATTATCGTCCGTTCCTCAGTTCGTACATCGTCGTACGTAATACAGACATACGTTTCGTTTATTCGGAAGAACGCGAATTCCGTTCCGATCCCTCGATGATTGACTTTCTTCCTTTGCTCGCCTCTCCTTCTACTATCGTTTAACTCGAAATTACATACGGTCAAACATCGTCGCGCCAAAAATAAAAAGTTCGTCGAGAGAAATTAATCAATTTAAGCCACCGACGTGTTCGAGAATCTCATAATGTTAGATGGACGAAGAGTTAACGACTGTTTCATTATTTTCAATGGAAAAACGACGAAAGAAAGAACGTTGAGAGGCCGACTTACGTTCAGGTGAAACTCGGTTCCTCGATGATGCTCTATGGAGCGAAATGGATTCTGAAGAGGAGAACGAGGATGAGGAGAAGGGGACCGGGGAGGGAGCAACCGGAAAGGAGTTCGTCGCTCATCCGCGTTGCTCAGCTAGAAGAGCCATCCTCCATCGGGTTCGACTGCGATGGCGGCAGTGGCGGCGGCAGTGGTGGTTCCCTGTTTCTGGGACTCCTCGTCGTCCTTGAAAGAGAGAGAGAGAGAGAGAGAGAGAGAGAGAGAGAGAGAGAGAGAGAGAGCTCTTTCCTGGGGTGGGGACCAAAGCGATGGAAGAGGGAGAACCGGAAGTGCCCGGATATGAGTTTCCGGCAAGGACAATTTGCAGCGCGAAATTGAATGATCGACTTCGATAAGCGGTCGAAAGAGAGAGCGAGAGAGAGAGAGAGTGCAGGTCCTATATTGGGAAAAGAGGGGAAAGGAGAGAGAGAGGAGAGATAGAGTCGATCGTGACGACTCGAAATGTCGCTATTACGATGATTCGTTAGCGTCATTACCGCCTGTCGCAAGAACCGGGAAAGAGGGCGCGCCCGCGCGCATACGAAATCCATTTGTCCTCCGTTAATTGTTATAATCGCGGAGGTACGAGCCTATTCGCACCGGACAGAGCTTACATGCTGATCGGGGATTCAAAACATAGCCTGAAGCTAATTAGCTCTTTCTGTATATCGCCGAAAATGATCTTCTTATTTTGTTATCATTTGCGAAAAATAAATAGTATATAGCGTATAATAGAGATTTTCCATTCATTCGGCCAAATTTTCTTTAGTACGGACCATGTATAAAAATATATCACTGTGTGCTAATAACATGTTTACACACGTATCGAAGATGCGAAAAGCCAATGGCGTCAATTTTCTCGTTGCTATGATTATTTGTAAATAATAAAGTTTACAAATAGTCTGCTTGTCTGTACGTTAAACGAAAAGTAATTCTCGATTTAGATAAATATTGAATATCCATTCCATGTAATTATCATTATTACATGGTTGCTTTTAGATAGACCGGTCAGTAGCTTTTCACATTTTTGATCATACAAACATTATTGATACTAATTAATATTTTTCGTTGAATAAAATCAAAGGGATGACACAAGTGGTATAATAAATGAAATGGAGGGTGAAACTCCATTGTGCATCGATTTTTTCTACAGGGGTATCTGCTTATATGGATAAAAAAGAAAAAAAAGAAAAAGGTTAGAGAATATTTCGACGACTCCGATTTCTTTCTCTACATGGAACAACGATGACGATGATGCAATATACATATTTCGAATACGAGGCAACGGACCGAACTTGATTTGCCGGATCACTGAAATTGTTGATGCAACGCGTGCCGTGATTGTGTCGTGCGGAAATAAAGGTGAAAGAGAAATAGGCGCTGGCACTGATCGACCGACGACCGCTTGGTTGGCGCTCTTTCGATCGTCCAAAAACGCTCGAATGATTGCGAGAATCGAGTGTCATTTTTGCACGAACGATACGCGCCGTTATAAATCGAACCGCGAACGGACTATTTACCTGTCCTTTCTCACCAACGTCCCTGCTCTCTCTCTCTCTCTCTCTCTCTCTCTCTTTCGTTCTTTTTCTCTTTCATCTGTACATCGTGGTCAACGCAACCATCACTGGCCACCAGGCTCCGCGATACAGAGACAGAGAGAGAGAGAGAGAGAGAGAGAGAAAGAGAAAAGAGAAAGCGGCCACACGGCCTACCGACAGTTTCATTGGCGGCATCTATTGGAAAATTTATTCCAATATTTTCAATTAAAGTTAGACAATGCTTGGTTTGATAACGCTACCTGCTATACGCCGTTCTAGTTTACCGAGAGAAAAATAATATAGTACGCGCGAATGATCAGGAACCGCTTTCAGAGGCCGTCCGCGTCGACGACGACGACGAATGAGAGGAAAAGGAGCCCTGCGAGCGGAGAGAGAAGCATCGAAACGAGTGGTAGTGGTAGTAATCGTTCTATGCCGCAACTACCGAGAACGAACGGAAGAAGAGGATGGTATTGGTTGGCCGTCGTCAAGTTCTCGAACAATACCCGATTTTGTTCGGTTACGTGGCTACGTGAGCAAGCTATCGACCAACTTTTTGTTCAATCGACTAACGTAATTATAATTCATCCCTTTAGCGGTATTGAGCCTTTACTTTCTTCATACGCAAACGAGAAATTGTACCTACTTTTTCGTCTATCCATAAACTATATTATATAACGTGATTCGCGTGGTGCAAATCGTAATGACATCGGCAAAAATAGAGAATGACGACTTTCTTTGTAATACATCCACGTATTGTAGTACAACTTGTTTTACATTCAACACGTACACGATGTTGCGTAACGGTATAAAGAAAATTGTACATACTCGTATTATCGTTCGCTCCGTTTCAGATGCGTGTACCTAATCTTCTAGACGAAATCTGCCAAAGGATCGATTCCAAATACGCGTCCTAGCTTTTGAATGGAAAGACATCGACGTCGACTACTGGCAGGATATTTTGTAAAAGGACACCCGGTACTTTAGTCTGCCCACGCATGGAACGATAATTAGATGCCTACCGGCATGGCCGCAAACGTCACGTGGCTGTCACAAGAGCTGTCATCGCTTCCTGTTAGCGCCAACGTTCGCGAACAACCGAGAAGGAAAGAGAACGAGAGAATGGTCGAAGGTACGATAAGCGAGAGAGAAGGAGCGAAATACGAGAAGCGTAGAGAAGCTTAGTAGCGCGAACTGGACGATACTGTGATTTGTTCGGACAGTTCGATCACCGTTCTTCGTATACTTCGACTATGGTCTGTGTCAAAGTATTTTCTGTCCCTCCACGGGTTCTTTCACGTAGAAATGTTGAGAATGCATCTTTAATAACGTTCGAATGTTTTCCTCAATTTTCTTCTTCTCAAAAAATCCTAATGTACATATCGTTAAGTTTCAATTTATTGCATTATTATCAATATGCGTTCTTTTCAAACAAATTAATACCTTTGGAAATGAAAAAATTTTTCCGCATGTTCTTGGATAAAGATTATGAGTTGGTAGATAGACGGAATAAACGTATATATTAAGAGAGAGAGAGAGAGAGAGGGAGAGGGAGGGGTTGGAGAGTGGGCAGAGAAGAGAAGTAAAAAGAGAGCCGACCAATAATATGTTACTGCGAAAAGAAGGAGAAGGGAAAAGAGAGAAACCGAATGAACGTACCGAGGAGATAGATGATCTAATGAAATAATAGGATCCAGCGAGGCAGCCAGCGAGTACGGCGAAGCAAGGGTGAAAAAGACTGCCCGAAGTTCAATGGAAACGGATGAATGTCCTCGCGTGCAAAGCAGTCGTCGGTACGGGTTTCGGGAGAAAAAACGAAGCCTCTGGCTTTAATACCACGCCTGGTGCTCACCACTTTGCGATACAACACTGTTTATAATTGAAATCGTCCCTATCTACCATTCGTTCTGTCTTTCGATTTCTCTCCATTATACGCACTTATCGATATTCGCGTCTTTATATTCTGCTACCTACTCGCGCAGTCAATTATCCTGGATTTTGCGATAGAAAATCGTCGTATAAGGAATCCTTGAAACTACAAAGAAACTTATACGTATCTCCCTTTATTTGAATTATATTCGATATCGAAACTGTGCGTGACTCGTGTATCCTTCGTTTCGAAAGGCTAGAGAAAAGGATTCCAGCGATAGAGGCTCAAGTAAACGTGCTGCTGGCTTGGGTATAGCCTGGGTCTTTTAAAGAACCCGAAAGAGTAAGAGAGAAAAATAAGAGAGGTAAGAGAGATAAAGTTCGATTTATGATATGCC